AAAAAAAATAACAATTGCACCAACGTGACAATTATTAAATGTATAAAACAGAATAAATTATACGCAAAAACGTTGTGAGACGAACATTGTCATTTAGAGTTTTTGACGTACCTATAGATACCCGCAGCAGGTATAGTCATAACTCATTACCATTTGCTAAAAATTAAAAAAAAAAAACACCACGTAATATGCCGAAGCCGTGTTATGTCTGCATGCTGTACTTTTATCGGAACAGTTCCGATTCGAATACATTATTAGGATGCGCTTGAATCATTGAAAATAGTCCTGTAAGTGCACTCTAATACACCGTCCCGACAATAGTATGAAGGACGCGGATATACCTACTCATTTATACACGATATGATATAATCGCGGATTTATTCCCAAACAGATTTTGTTATAATATTATATAACTTGCACATCGCAATGTATTATAAAGTCTGTGTTTATTTATTTAATTAAAGATTTACGAGAAGAATACTATAAACCATCGCGGTGATTTTACTCGTATTGTGAAACAAATCTAAAGGGCTTGATCATTATTGTAGCGTAAAAATTATGCACCTCTTCACCAAAACGCCATTATGAATTATGATGTAATCATATCTGCAGCAGTATTAATTAATGCATAATACGCCATCCYTCCGATAAACCACTAAACAGTTTATTGTTTATTTATGTTCCTATTTATTATACCTATTTCCCCTTTATAATATAATAACACTTTACCTATATTATTTATACATTGTACATTTGTACTGGAACAATAAGGCCGTGGCTACACTCGGCGTTTTCGGTTGAAGTCAAATTTCATCATTGTTTTACATTGAAGTAGCTGTACACGATGGCGGATGTAATATTATATACGCTAGGTTTGAAATGTTTGAATACGCGGCGGAAAACGCTGCAGGCCAGCTTGCGTTTTGCAGGCGGAACACGCAACGGATATGTCTTATATAGTAATTTTTTCGGAAAACGTGTCTAGCCCTAGCCTAAGAAGACACGCTGCTGTGATAAGAAGTGTAGAGGTGACTTACTTAAACAATTCGATTTACCTAATATATATTATTAAATATTATTTTATAATCAACTGAATAACAAAGTATATTATAATTAAAAACATATTAATATATCATTATTTAAATTAACTAATTTTATTCATACTATTAAAACAACGAGTGGGTGGGTATAATTTATTAAGTAGTGAGATGTAATGTAATAGAAACTCTGCGTAAATATTACAAAAATGCGACGCGTAGAAAAAACATCAACCGAGCGATTTATTTTTTCTGCAAAAAATCGAAACATATCTATGATAATCTACCTAACACTCGCGTATCCAAGGTGATCACACGCACGAATCGTGCGCAAACTACGAACGAATATATAGTGATATATTATTATGTTATTATTATCATTATTATTTCACTCTGTATATATACCCGCGATAATTACGTAGATTCGCGCTTTGTACCTGACCTTTAGAAATATAGAATAATCTATATATTATATAGACTTTATGGTAATATTGTACCTAATTTTATAATATACCACCAGTGACCAAAATTATGTACATTACAGTACATAAAAATATATAATACAGCTCCATCCCCGTCACCTCCTCCACTCAAGTACCTAAAATTGTGTGTAGTACAAAAAATTCAGTGTGTAGTACGAAATTTAAAAGTTTTTTATTCACATTAAACCTTTATAATAATATTCTATAAAATTTTAAAACTACAATATTAATACAGGATATCAGTAAGTTCTTCGACCACAATGAATAAAAAAAAAAAAACTTCAATAATTTACATACTTAATATAGGTAATTTAAATTTTTTTTTATTTATTTACTGATATTATGTATTATTATTTTCATGCATTTTGTATATACACTTAAAATGAGATTTATATTTTAAAAAAAAAATGTTTTTTTCAACAAAAATTCTATTTCACAATTTTTTTTTAAAGAACCTTTAAATTTGTTAAATAGAGGTTCTACTTTATTTAAATAAAATTATTTATTGTAAATGCATATTATATTATTAATTGATAGGTACTAGCTATGTATAATTTAGATTGGACTGCAGATTTGGGGCTATGTGTGTAATACGAAAATTTGGATATTTTAGGGACTGCTCCACTCTAATATATAAAACTACAGAAACGAGCTGACCAATGAAGTTCGAAGTATCCAGCACGCAATGGCTGCAAATCGTACATTTTTTTATGTGGAACTTCTTATGCTGCTGATGGTGAAACCGACTGTTGACGTCACGACGTCGCCACGAACGAATGCGCGCAGAATGTTTGCGATACGCAACACATTAACCCCCAACATAACGCGCAGTGCTCACAATAAAAAAAAAACAACATAATTATCTAATTCGTATATTAGAATATTATAAAGATTACAATCAATAATCATCGGAAAAACTAGACTTTTGAACAAGGGGGAAGAGAGTGCCTAAGCTCCAGATTTTGTTGTGACTTAATGGGGACCTATAATTTTTTAAACAATTTTTATGGTTCTAATTTTGACTTAGGGGGTGCAAAAAACCCAWAGCACATCCTAGTTGCGCCAATGATAATAATCGTCACTCGTTAGGTCGATCRATCATGTGGCGTAATTTTGAATTGGTCATGGGGTGCATGCAAATTCATACTAAATAGCCCMTCTCACAACCACTTGTCTTGATCATTAAATGTCGTAGACCATGGTATTATATTAATTTGTTATCATAAATTAAATTATGTAAATATTTTAATTATGGTTGTCAGCATTATGTTTTAAGTATATGAGCCGTACAATTTTCTTGTCATATATTATAATTTATAACGGTTGAGGTTTCGTAATTTTTAACTAGTAAAATAAATTTAAAAAATCTAAACTATGTGATGACCATGAATTCTTATCCCTTAATTTTAAAAATATAAAGTGGTTACGAAATTTTAAAAATGGTTATTTTTTTTTTAAAAAAAAAGGCTCTGAGGCCGTAGGATATATCACCCTCGTATAATTATGCCACTGCCATCGATCATAACGATATAATAAAAAAGTGAGCCATCGCAGAACGCCTGCAGGCATGCAGATATAAAACATAAACAATACTGATTGCACATTAATTATTTTGTATAGAAAATATGTATGAAAATTACTAGGAAAGTTTATTAAAGAAAATATTAAACATAAATGCAAAATCAAAAAAACAAAGTAGGTATTCATGTTTTTTAACAAATGTTATGCGCATCCGAGATCACACGGCACGTGGAGTGTGGATATTATGAAATTTATGAGCATGATTAGGTACATCGAGCAACAACTCGTGGACACGCCGTGCCAATTTTTTTTTCTTGGCCTGTGATACAGAGACTGGCAACAATAATTATTGCCGGGAAGCATTGCGGCGCGCGTCGTTCATATTATACGCTCAAACTCAAATCAGACGGCGCGTCGACTAGCTGTACCGCGCAATATACTGCTCCACACAGCACGCGACGCGCGACGCGCTTAGTATCCGGGCTTCGGATATTTCACGCGTTACGCGAATTCCGCGCATGCGCTCGTTGCAGGCGTTTACGTGCCTCGCGCAATTTGCACGCGATGATGTGAGATTCACCACGACGCCGACAAACGGGTTCACCCATCGCATAAATATGCGTTTCACATTAAAAAAAAAAAGATGAGTACGGCGGCGGGATGGCATCCCTTCAAYTTTCATAACTTACATTTCTAATCCCTCCGCTTATTTTGAAAGCCACTTGGACCTCGAATTGACAAAATATAAGAATATTATATATTGATAGGTATGTAATAATATATAATCCTAAAAATAGATTGATAATATATATACTTTGATGCGTATGATGCCAAATATGCATATAATAATACAATAATAATACATAATACTGACCGCTCTGTTTGTCTTGGGAACCGACTACGGCGGAGCCCACCTCGTTCCACGCGGCGTTCTTGGCGCCATAGTCCTTGAACACGTGCATCGTCTGATCGTAGAGCACCGGTCGATCGCGGACCGCGGCCAACAGTTTTTCGTCACGCACTTTGCTCGCCGTCTTTTTCATGTTCGGCCGCTTGTTGTTCGGGCGGCGCGCGACTACGACTTCAGCCGCGCTGCACAACGGCGTGGCGCGCTATGGTGGTTCGCGTACATACACGGCGCGCGCGTAAATATTACAACGGTATCGTAGTAGTATAATACCAGGTATATCGTGTGTGTATTATACCGCCTGACACGTCCAAAACGATATTATGGCGATGGTATTGCAACGCTTACATGTGCAATGATGTATTATGTAATTATTATCAATACGTATGTGCGTATCTGCACATACGTAAAGTATTATTTGGACGCGCGTCGTTATTTCCTTGTGTCGCCGAAATAAGAGCGACGATAATAAGAATATACTAGTATGATTGTTGCGGTCAAACCGCAGTGAATAGCAGCAAACCTTTACAATAAATTGTGCGATGCTATATTATACGCGTGCACGCGGGTGCGCTACTGCTGCGAGGTGCGTGCGTGATGGTTTTAGACGCGCGACGCTCGGGCTGCGACTGTGAGTTGTGACTAGCGTGACTGCGATTATAAAATAATATAATAATAATAAATTTTCCGCCGCCGCAGTCGTCGTTATGTGCGCGCGGTATATTATTATAATGTGTGCGGTACGCGCGGCGGCGGTCGAGGGAATCGCTAGGCGTCGACGTCGCGCGTACTACGCGCAAACGTATACGTGTGCAGCGCAATGTATGTATATGCACACAATGTCGTACACACGCGCACACRCACGACGCGGCAGTGTTATAAATCGTGCGCAGCGCGCGGAACGCGGCTMGGGCGACGACCGCCTCCACGCTCGAATCCGCACGCGCGCGCGCGCTCGCGTTATTTCGTGCGCCAAGTCGTACGCTCTCATATGATCGTTATATATATATATATATATACGCGCCGCGTGTGCGTGTGCGCGCCCGACGTTGTAACGCGACGCGCAATCGATTGCGTGCAGACCGACGAGGCGGCGGTGTTGTCGCTATAGACACAAACCGAGGCCGTCGCCGCGTGCAGGACGCGAGGCCGCGGTGGACGCCGGTAGGTGGGCTAGCGACCGGCGGTGGGCGGACGACGGAGTGGCGCGCGTGCACGGCGGATGGACGCGCGCGCTGTTTACGTCCCTGTACGTAATAACAATAATATGTGTGCCTTTAGACCGGACGACGACACGAGGTAGAGGAGAGCGAGGATTACGTCGACGGACGGGTTGATCGAAGCGCAAAATAATTRTGTCGTTTAATAATGATATTGTATTATTATGATAATCAGTTATTGTCGGCAACGCGAAAAACAATTAAAAACGTTTACCCTTGTACCTACTCGTATTGTACTTTATATTGTCATGTAAGATTCAGAGTAATATCAGAGGAGTTATCATGGCTCAACAGTTAAGTTGCTTTCTACATTATAGTGGTACTTTTAGGTTTTAATCGGAAGCCGAAAACCCAAATTTCCTTTTTAAATACTCTATGATTCCAATAATATATTATGTGGTATAATAAAATGTGATAAATATATAAAAATATGTATAATCGTCCGTCTTCCGTCATTGCACTGCCGCGTTGTCAAGTGCGCGTGTGTGGTGTATATGATACATGTATATCACCGCACAGAGATTTTTAGTATTATTATGAAATTGTACACGCAATTTGGACTTCGTCCCATAGACAATTATAATATAATATTAWTATTTATTATCATCGTCCCCCCTCTTCCAACCCTTCGCTGTATATTTTTATAATAGTAACACTCTGTGCCGCGCCACCGAATGCCGGAATCCACATTATTATATGTTAAAATATTATGTAAGCCGCGCAGAGAACTTCACCAAAGTTATTATTATAATATTATTATTATTATAGAACAACATTTTTTCAGTGTCATGAAATACTCACACGTGACGATGAACGGAGCACGTGGCGTGATTGACGGGTGATGTATTTYGCCGTGGCACATTCCGATAAAATATTATTATTATTATTATCATCCGCGCATCCGCCGTTATCGGTTTATTATGGATGGAAATTGTATCCGTGTTTACAGTGCAGCATAATAATAAGCATAGGCATGCGCAGACTTTGTTTGCAGGGGGAAGGGGGGGCACATTAAAAAGGTCTGAACCAATTACCAAAGATTCTTGTACTGATGACTTCTACTAAGTAAACTAAATACTACTTGAATATTAAATCGTAAATTTTACAAAACATTTAAGTATCTGTTTATTTAATTCATAATAAAAATAATCTAGTATAGTATAGATATCAGATACATAACCATTTATTAAAGAAAAAGYCAGTGGCCGCGGCCTACCCCCTCCCTCGTGCGTAAGCCTATGATGATAATAGGTAWGTTATGACTTATGAAGCACGTGCAAGTTGTGACTTTTGATGATAACACTATAGTCGACTACTGTGTGAGCTGGTGTGAGACATTATAACCATGGT